TTATTTGACAATATTTCTTTCTATTTTTGGAAAATATGCATGTCAACATTTTTACGGTCACTAGACTACCGTATGTGGGTATACAAAACCAACTAGATTAGTTGACGAAGTTAGATTTGAAATTTCCTTTGCAGATTGGCCTTTAGAACAATGTAAACTAGCACAACTTAATGCTAAATATTTGAATAATTTCTTTTGTGCTCTTAAATCTGAAGATTACATGTGGGTTTCCACTTGTAAAAGTGGAAAGGACATATGGAATAGACTTTGTATAACATATGAAGAGACTAATGAAGTTAAATAATCCAGACTTAATATCTTATTACATGTCTATGAATTGTTTTGCATGAAACCTAATGAATCCATTTCTGACATGTACATAAGATTCACACAAACAGTCACCTCTTTATATGCATTGGGTAAGGAACTAACCAATGCTGAAATGGTTAATAAGATACTTCGTTGTTTGCCTACTACATATGATGCTAAAATAACTATGATTACAGAGTCTGAAGACTTAAATATTTACTCTATTGACAATCTTCTTGGACCACTAATTGCTTACGAGCAAGGAGTGAGTCAATGAAAGATTGATGCAGGAGAGCCATAAAAGGAGAAGAACATTGCACTAAAAGTGAAGGAGTCGAAGAGTGATCTATCACAACCTGAGGATGAGGACGACATCGCGTTGATGACTAGATAATTCAGAAGCTTTCTAAAGAGGAAGCAAAAGACATGACAACAATGGAACCGAGGTAAGTTCAATAAGAATGTCAAGGTTTTTAATGATGTGATTTGCTATGAGTGAAGGAAACCTGGGCACATTATGTCAAACTGCCCAAAACTCGAAGAAATTTCAAAAAGCTTTTTAGGTGGACTTAGCTTTGGACTCATCAGAGATTAAAAAGGAAGAGAAAGTCACCAATTTGTTCTTGATGGTTGATAATCTTAATCAATCAAATCAAGAAGAGGTATGTGACTTACCTTATGCTTAACTTTTTGAAGTCTTTGAAAGAGTACATGATGCATATAGGAAGCTAAAAAGAATGCATGCTAGCCATAACCTAGAACTACAAAAATTGCAAAAAGAACTCGAGATCTTTAGGAATGATCATGCATTGATTAATAAATACCACATGAGCTTACTTGATGAATTCGATAATTTGAATAAGTAGAACAATATTTTGAAAATATCCTATGCTCAACTGGAAAAAGAATTTAAAAGTTTTAATGATGAATTAGCAAATAGAGAGCATTATTTATAATTTGATGCACATATTGTGGAAGATTTGAACATCTATTTGAAGTTGAAAGTAAAAGCTCTCGAGGAAAATAGAAAATACCCAACACTTAAAGATTTTATAAATCCAATTTTAGAAAAATCATCACATAGCTTTCTATCAGAATATCCAAAAGGTATATCATCAACATATATCTAAATAATGAGTAACTCATCTCCTATTTTTCTCAGAAAAAGGGTAGTGTCTATACTTCCCTTAACAAAATCCCTTTTTAGTAAAAATGTGCTAAGCCTCTCATACTAAGCTCTTGGTGCATGTTTTAATCCATATAAGGCCTTTTTTAATTTGTAAACTGTTGACCTCTGTACAATACCCAAAAGAAAAAAAATTGAAATCATATCGTAGCTCTGTCAGGATCGCCGAAATCCCGTTCCCTACCTTGTATCTGTCGAAGACATCCACGAATCCCGCTGAATCGGCGTCGCTCCAATCATTTCTCCGCTATTCTTGCGATGATAGCCTCGATCACCTCCCGTGAGCGTCATTAAATACTGAAACAAGTGAGACCTTCGGCTGCTGCTCTCTCCTAATCGCTACCCGCAGACCCCGTCTCCCTCTCCGATTGCTCTTCCTTCACACACACAAAACTCTGATATCCTCCCTCTTCTCATATGAACTCCACACATGAGAATTCCTCTCTTCCAATTCCCTTGCTCCCGATCTCGGCTTCTCCTCCCATCGTTGCTACCTTAGTCGGTCGCTGCCTCCCAATTCCCGACGATCCAGAGAGAGGGAGAGATAGAGAGGAAGAAAGAGAGAGAGGGAGAGAGAGAGAGAGAGAGAGAGAGAGAGAGAGAGAGAGAGAGGGAGAAGTTTATTCCCTTACCTGAGCCGACCGCTACTCCAAGCCCGACGCTAGAGCCGCTGAAGCTCCGACCTCCACCTCCATGCCTTGCCCGATCTCCTCTGTTCGAGCGTCCCTCTTCGACGACGTCCCTTTCTTTCAGTTTGGAAGTTCTGACATTTTGATCTCAAGCAACAATAGAAGCTCACAGGTTGTGAAGGTAACATTCTCCTTGTCGTGCTCTTCTTCGGTCCAGCAAGCCGACCAAACCAGAGGAGGAAAAGGGAGATGACATATTTTTGTTTATTATGTTTATTATTATTGTTATTATTAATCATTTTTAATTATAAATTAATAATTATTAGTTAATGATAATGATAATTGTTTATAATTACTTAGTTAATTATAATTAATTATCTTTTATTATAGTTAATTAATATTAATATATAATTAGTTTAATTAATTAAAAACCTATATGAGCTTGAACTTGCAAGGTGAACTTTGACATTGAACTCAAAACTTGTGGACATCAAACTTGAATAAGACATGGACCCAAGAGAACTTGATTGAACTCATATTGAACTCAGACTTGAACTCTACAAGGCAGCAGGGGACTACTTGAACTCAAATGAGTTGAACAAAGAACTAGAACTTGTACTCAAACTTGGACTCTAATTTGAGCAAACATGAAGAACTTCACTCAAATTGAATATCAATCAAACTTGTAAATATAGGACTTGAGCTTGAATGAACTTTAAAGAGCTAAACTCATAATGACATGAAATTTGAAATGAACAAGGATCAAATAATTGAGAACTTGACATTGGATAGATGAATGTCAAAGTGCAAATAGAGGTTTGTAAGTAACATCAGTAAAATGCTGAATATCATTGGTGATGAGCAAAACTCCAAAGTTGAACTTCATGCAAATAACATCTATGTCAATCATGCAATCAAACCTGCAAGCAACGACAATCAACATGCATGAAAAAGTGAATGAATGCAACTAAGTTACCATAAAAACACATACATCCCTTGCAAGCTGAAGGTAATTGATTGGCACATCAAGTGCAAATACCTATGAATATGAGATGACCACATTAAAGTGTAAATTCCTACAAGCTATTATAGGGGAACTCTTCGCTCTTATAATGATCCTATCTATAAACAACGATAGTGAATGCATCACTATTGTGGTGTATCCTTCATAAAAAAATATATAAAAGATCGTGGTGAATACAGGGATCTACTTTCTATGATGGAAAATGCATCTCATGCACAATAATATACATAGGCGAGTGATTATCAATAGATGTGGATGTCATAGTACTCCTATAATCAATCACCATTCAACGTCCAATAAATCTATCACCCTCCTTGGCATGTATAGCTACATACGTTGTGTATTATGCATCGATAATATGGGAGATCTTCTACAAATAAGAGATAGAAGATGGTGACGAATACGAATGATCACTATTAATGATGAGGGAGTCACCACATATACAAGAATGCTCCTACGGTTGATGATCTATAACGAATAGTAAAGACTAAAGTCTCTTTGTAGCCAACAACCATACGGTTGAGGTTAACACATTGGCCTGCTACAAGAAGAGGTGGGACAAATTCAACAAATGCAATCACCTATAGGTTGTCGTATGATACTTGTTATACATGTCATCACCTAATTAATACAGAAGAATTCCAGCAGTCATCATCATTTGTAATAAAAAGCAGGAGATTCGTTAGTGCACTACGATCCACCTGCAGAAAGCAACGAGTAGTGCATGACAGTCTAACTGTACGAAGTAGAAAACAATTTTATTTAGAAGCTGCTAAGCTACGCCACCGGATCTGCAACACTTATGCAAGCAGACAGAAGGTGTTTACGAATATTTTCAATATACTCCTATACGTGCACTATAGCTTGTATACACATAGGTACACAAAGGGTTACACAATAACAACCCGTATGGGCCCCGGCGAGCATGTTATTGGTACACACGTGACATCTAGGGATGCTACGCGGGTTATTAAATTTTAACCCGATCCTCCTAAGCATGTATAAAGGACTAGATAGGGTATAATCATAAAATGCCCACAAACACCCGCATGGGCCCCGGTGAGCGTGTTATTAGTACACACGTGACGTCTAGGGATGCTGCGCGGGTCGATAAGTAAATTCAAGTTCAAACCTGATCCTTCTATATGAATCAATAGCAGTCGACAGGGTTTGAACCTTCAAATAAATACACGGTTATGGCAACCGATGTATTTATTTTAATACATTCATATTAGGCCATCAAGGCCTATAACAATGAGAATTCACTATCAAGGGCATAAATACTATGAAACCCGATCCTCTGTCGACAGCCAGACATAGTCGACAAGGTTCAAGCCACAAAGGCAAATGACCCCACACATCCCGATGATGGCCGTGTTGAATGCAGAGCTCAACCGGAGGGATTCACAAATATTTTCAAAAATGCCTCCCATATGTCCACTCAAAATCCAAAAACTCCACAAAGTCCAAAATAATAAAACTCTACAAAGTCCAAAATTCAATCATTTCAAATTCGAGATATTTAAAAATTAAAATCATCCATCAATCACTCAAAGCAAAATTCATCCACCCTTCGCCACAGTTTGCCAGGGTGGACAAATCAAGATCTACTTCAGCTCATAAAAGAGCTAAATGCCTAGTCGAAAATATCACTAGGATCCATTCTCAAACAATCTTCGGCCAGTAAGAACATGGTACGTGTCCTCTAACCGGTGGTTCGCTACCAAATGGCACCGTAGGATAAACAGTTATGACCCGGG